TGACATGGGACCTCCGCATCCAAAAAAACTTTTCAGAAACTATTTAGGAGCTATTTAGCAGCTAGCTAGCAGCTATTTAGAAGCTATCCAGCAACTATTTGGAAGCTATTTTGCAACTATTTAGCAGCTATTTAGAACCTATTTAGTAGTTATTCAGAAACTATTCAGAAGCTATTTAGCAGCTAGCTAGCAGCTATTTAGAAGCTATTCAGCAACTATGTGGAAGGTATTTTGCAACTATTTAGCAGCTATTTAGCACCTATTTAGTAGTTATCCAGAAACTATTTAGAAGCTATTTAGCAGCTAGCTAGCAGCTATTTAGAAGCTATTCAGCAACTATTTGGAAGCTATTTTGCAACTATTTCGCAGCTATTTAGCACCTATTTAGTAGTTATTCAGAAACTATTTAGAAGCTATTTAGCAGCTAGCTAGCAGCTATTTAGAAGCTATTCAGCAACTATTTGGAAGCTATTTTGCAACTATTTAGCAACTATTTAGCACCTATTTAGTAATTATTCAGAAACTATTTAGAAGCTATTTAGCAGCTAGCTAGCAGCTATTTAGAAGCTATTCAGCAACTATGTGGAAGCTATTTTGCAACTATTTAGCACCTATTTAGTAGTTATTCAGAAACTATTTAGAAGCTATTTAGAAGCTAGCTAGCAGCTATTTAGAAGCTATTCAGCAACTATTTGGAAGCTATTTTGCAACTATTTAGCAGCTATTTAGCACCTATTTAGTAGTTATTCAGAAACTATTTAGAAGCTATTTAGCAGCTAGCTAGCAGCTATTTAGAAGCTATTCAGCAACTATTTGGAAGCTATTTTGCAACTATTTAGCAGCTATTTAGCATCTATTTAGTAGTTATTCAGAAACTATTTAGAAGCTATTTAGCAGCTAGCAGCTATTTAGAAGCTATTCAGCAACTATGTGGAATCTATTTTGCAACTATTTAGCAGCTATTTAGCACCTATTTAGTAGTTATTCAGAAACTATTTAGAAGCTATTTAGCAGCTAGCTAGCAGCTATTTAGAAGCTATTCAGCAACTATTTGGAAGCTCTTTTGCAACTATTTAGCAGCTATTTACATTTATTTAGTAGTTATTCAGAAACTATTTATATTTAGAAGCTATTTAGCAGCTAGCTAGCAGCTATTTAGAAGCTATTCAGCAACTATTTGGAAGCTATTTTGCAACCATTTAGCAGCTATTTAGCACCTATTTAGTAGTTATTCAGAAACTATTTAGAAGCTATTTAGCAGCTAGCTAGCAGCTATTTAGAAGCTATTCAACAACTATTTGGAAGCTATTTTCCAACTATTTAGCAGCTATTTAGCACCTATTTAGTAGTTATTCAAAAATTATTTAGACGCAATTTAGCAGCTAGCTAGCAGCTATTTAGAAACTATTTCAGCAACTATTTGGAAGCTATTTTGCTACTATTTAGCAACTATTTAGCACCTATTTAGTAGTTATTCAGAAACTATTTAGAAGCTATTTAGCAGCTAGCTAGCAGCTATTTAGAAGCTGTTCAGCAACTATTTGGAAGCTATTTTGCAACTATTTAAAAGCTATTTAGCACCTATTTAGTAGTTATTCAGAAACTATTTAGAAGCTATTTAGCAGCTAGCTAGCAGCTATTTAGAAGCTATTCAGCACCTATTTAGAAGCTATTTAGCAGCTAGCTAGCAGCTATTTAGAAGCTATTCAGCAACTATGTGGAAGCTATTTTGCAACCATTTAGCAGCTATTTAGCACCTATTTAGTAGTTATTCAGAAACTATTTAGAAGCTATTTAGCAGCTAGCTAGCAGCTATTTAGAAGCTATTCAACAACTATTTGGAAGCTATTTTCCAACTATTTAGCAGCTATTTAGCACCTATTTAGTAGTTATTCAGAAACTATTTAGAATCTATTTAGCAACTATTTAGCAGCTATTTAGTAGTTATTCAGAAGCTATTTAGAAGCTATTTAGCAGCTAGCTAGAAACTATTTAGAAGCTATTCAGCAGCTATTTGGAAGCTCTTTTGCAGCTATTTAGCAGCTATTTAGCACCTATTTAGAAGCTATTTAGCAGCTAGCTAGCAGCTATTTAGCAGCTAGCTAGCAGCTATTTAGAAGCTATTCAGCAACAATTTGGAAAATATTTTGCAACTATTTAGCAGCTATTTACAACCTATTTAGTAGTTATGCAGAAACTATTTAGAAGCTATTTAGCAGCTAGCTAGCAGCTATTTAGAAGCTATTCAGCAACTATTTGGAAGCTATTTTGCAACTATTTAGCAGCTATTTAGCACCTATTTAATAATTATTCAGAAACTATTTAGAAGCTATTTAGCAGCTAGCTAGCAGCTATTTAGAAGCTATTCAGCAACTATTTGGAAGCTATTTTGCAACTATTTCGCAGCTATTTAGCAGCTATTTAGAAGCTATTCAGCAACTATTTGGAAGCTATTTTGCAACTATTTAGCAGCTATTTACTTCATTCTGAAAACCGTCCGGACGGGGTCGGAGCTGAGCAGCTTTTAAAGGAATTTAAAGGAATTTTGGTGGTGTTTGGTTTATTTGATTTCTATATTCAAATTGTTTCAAAACATTGCAGTTCGAATATGTTTAAACAGTCCTGTAGCAAACAATCAACCTTTATATATAATATTGTTGGCACGCCAGCATTGTTGGCTACCAACTATTAATATAAATGTGCCAGCATTGTTGGCTACCAACTATTAGTATAAATGTGCCAGCATTGTTGGCTACCAAATATATATATATACATATTATATATATATATGTTTTATTATATATGTATAGTGTTTACTTTATCATTTTGCTAAAAATATTGTGATTTATAATGAAAAATAAATCAGTATATATATATAGTTACATATATATATATTAAGAAAAACAACAACAATAATAATAAATAAATATTTGACATATAATATTATATATACTGTATATAAATATTCTAACTGCAAAAATAAATATTCTAAGTGCGACGTTTTTGAAAGTATCATTTTTCCATTCTAAGTGCTACCTTTTCAAATTTACATATTCTAACTGCTGGCAGCTCACTATAGGTAATGTGTGCAATGTAACGTATGCAATGTAATGTATGCAATGTAATGTATGTAATGTATGCAATATACTGTATTTAACGTAATGTATGAAATGTGTCAATGTCCGAAATGTATTTCATGTGTTAATGTTATGAAATGTAATGCATGTAATGCACGCAATTTATGTAATTTATGTGATGCATATAGAGTATGTAATGTTTTAAAATATGTCATGGGTGTAATTTATGAAATGTATGTAATGATTGTAATGTATGCAATGTAATGTTTGCAATGTATGTAATGTATGTAGTGTATGTAATGTATATGTGTATGTACGTAAGTAATGTATGTAATGTATGTAATGTATGTAATGTATGCAATGTATGTAATGTATGTAACGTATGTAACGTATGTAACGTATGTAATGTATGTAATGTATGTAATGTGTATTGTATGTAATGCATGTACATGTGAATACGTAATCTGTGTAATGTATGTAACGCATTATTGTATGTAGTGTATGTAATGCATGGAATGTATGTAAAAAGTGATGTAGGTAACGTATGTACATAATGTAGGTGTGTGATGTGTGCAATGCATGTGATGTATGTCATGTATGTAATGTATGTACAAAGAGTAGGTAGGTACTGCGTGTGATGTATGCCATGTATGCAATGTATGCAATGTACGCAATGTATGCAACGTATGCAATGTATGCAACATATGTAATGCATGAAATGTATGTAATGTATGTACATATGTAGGTAATATGTGCAATGTAATGTATGCAATGTAATGGATATAATGTATGCAATATACTGTATGTAACGTAATGTATGTAATGTGTCACTGTACGAAATGTATGTCATGTGTAAATGTATGAGATGTATGTCATGTGTTGGTTTAGTTCAGGAATCGTGAGCAGGTTACAACCCCAGCTGAAAAGCAGTTTTGATGCCTGGGTTGAACCACCCCAGTCCTGCTCTGTCACTCTTCACTATCCACTCGCATTGTGGGGAGGTCGACCCCATCATTTCCAATTGTTTTTCTTTCTTTCCCCACCTGTCAGGTGAGGGTTGTTAGATTTTATGTCAGCTGTCCCGCCTCACCCTTCTCCTTCCTTCTCCTCCGCCGGACCTCAACTGCAAGCGCTAGATCGCAGTGTTCCCCGCCGGACCCGAACAACAAGCACAGGATCAGAGCGTTGCCCGCCGGACCTCCACCTCGAGCTCCGGATCAGTGTTCCCCGCCAGACCTCAACCACAAAGAATTTCCAAAGATATACCAGATAGAATGCCAGAAAAAATGTCAGAAGATATGCCAGATACATATGCCAGAAAGAATGTCAAAGAGAATGTCAGAAGATCTGCCAGAAAGAATGCCAGAATGAATCCCGGAAAAGATGCCAAATAGAATGTGAGAATAGATGCCGGATAGAATGCCAGAAAGAATGTCAGAATATATGCCGGAAAGTATGTCAGAATAGGTGCCAAATATCATGTCAAATAGAATGCCAAAGTATATGCCAGAAAGAATGTCAGATATTGTCAAATAGAGTGTCAGAATAAATATGCCATATATATATATACACTTCCAGATGGTATATCAGAAACTATGTCATAATAGTGGTTCAGGGTGGGGATCTCACTCGAAGAAAGTAATTCGAATTGGAAAACCATGGGTAAATAATTATGATTAATTATGTGTATCCCTCTGCGCGTCATATTGTTTAATCACGGTTGATTCCAGCACCATCTCTGAACATTGATTTCTTCAGGCTGTCTTCAGGTGTACTTTTTATATAGTAAGCCAAAGTTAGATATGAAAGGTCCAAATCATATATAATTAGTTTCCTTGGATTTTACGTTTCTGGTGATTACTGGGAATAGCATCCTGGATCGGTCCTCCCGTACCTGGTTCCCTTATCCAACCCTCCCGGCACCGTGTGCTCTCCCACGGAGACATCATCGCAATAGCCCGCGAAGCTTCGGGGGCGATGTGGGTTGTCATGGGGATGGACGTACACGTCCTGACGAGCGCGAAGCCATCCAGGAATGCCATGGTCTTAGAACATCAAATTCTAAAAGCCAATAGATTCGGCAATATTTGATGACACCGAAGGGTATCCTCCATGGAACACTTTAACGCAGTGCCAGGGTACTCCCGCGATGTTGCCGCTCTTGCATGCCTGGCCATCCACTCGAATGGTCCAACGGCACGAGGCGTAGCTCCCTGAATATGTTCCTCGGCTCGACACTCACAGTCAGTAATACATCTCTGGCAATTCCATGCGAAAACTGCTACCAATAGCCATAGCACAAATTACCCGAGGCTAGACCCAAAAGCATCTTGTTTGCCCCAAAAGTGGGAGAGATAATCGTAACCATCCGATGATTGACTTTCGGATATTTTTTAATTCGAAAAAACAATGCACGCGCATAGAAACCCTCTGTCTTTTATTGCTTTGGTGGTCACATTGATGTTGCCGTGGGGTGGGGGTGGGGTGGAGTGGGGTGGGGCGGCAATTGCACTTGCACACATACTTGATGCGCAGATCCTAAACACGCGCAAGGCATCGAAGCCAAGAACATGTAAGGCTACCTATAAACTTGTTGTACCAACAAATGTCATAAATTTGCATGCCATGAAGACGACAGTTATAAGTTTCGATCGGATGTTCCGAAATGGACACTTTTGTTGTTCAAAGTGACGAACATGCTATATGGAAATCATACGGCATTCATGAAATATCAAGCACTAATTGCAATACTACTGCGTACGGGATTCAAAACAATTAGATAATTTAGTTGTTTTTGTTGCATTACAGTAATGTACCAGCAAATTGAGCCAGCCATGTGTGTGGAGGAAAAAACATGCACAAACAAAAGTATTAAAAAATGCGGAACCATGAGTCGAAGATTGTCGGAGTAAAAGAGCCGTAAGCGACTGTCCTGCATCGATGAATGGAGGAACGGGGGCCGAAGTGTTGCGAGTAAACAGCACCAACGGTAAACCAAACCGCTGAAACTTTGCCAGAAAAAGGGAGCCAAAAATGGTTTGATGTTTTTTCGTTGAAACTTCTGACCTTTCCACTCAGCTTGCGCGAGAGAGATCTGTCTCGGCATCCTCTCGGAAATCTCACCATGCAATCCACACAAAAATACTTACAAACTGGAGGCGAACATCGGATCATCACGGAGCAGTAGGATGAGAAAGGGAAACACTCAACAGACTCAACACGTTGGAAAAAGTTGAAACCCTGGATTTCTCCACTGATAGACAGGGTTTCAACCGCACAATTTTCCACCAATCCTCACAAAAACGATGAACAAACTGTCAAACAACCCTCACTGTCACATCCAAAAGGGAAAAAACTCGTGACTGAGGTTGTTGATGCTTCCAATCCATAATCCTATATTTGCCAACGTCCTCCACTTGATAGTAACATCCTACAATATCTTACGGATATATAATAATCCACCAACAAATCCTACGTATATGTACATATATATAGATATATATATATATATATATTAGCTTTTTTGAAAGCCTCGTAAACAATGCTTTTAAAGCTCCAAGAGACGCGGTGAACGTAGGGGGTACGAGTGGCTAACGGACGTGGTGACGAACGTAAGGCGAACGAGTGAACGGACGAGTGCACGTGTGAGCGAACGAGTGAACGGACGTGTGCGTACAAGTGGACGGACGTGTGTGCGTACGTGCGTGCGTTTGCACGTTCACTGGCCGCGTGCGCGCGCACGTACGAAAATAAGGTCGACTGGAGTCGACCTTATTTCTGTACGTGCAAAGCGCTACAATACTAAATCAATACCAAAGAGGCAGGGTCGTGCAAAAATAAGGTCGACTCAAGTCGACCTTATTTTCGTACGTGCGCGCGCGCGTGGCGAGTGACCGTGCAAACGCACGGACGTACGCTCACACGTTCGCTCGCACGCAGGCTCACTCGTACATACATACGTTCGCACGTACGTTCACTCGCACGCATGTCGTTCACACACACACGTTCATACCCCCGTTCATGTCACTCGTCACTACACGTACGCTAGATAACAAAAATATTTTTACGAGACTTTAAAAAAAGCTAATATATATATATATATATTTATTTATATTTATATACAAGTTATATCATATATATATACATATGTGTGCATATATATATAATATATATATATATATATATATATATGTCGGTGTTTGTCAAAAAAGTAACAGTTCAACATCCTCAACACATCCATCAGCAATAGGTCCTTGTAGAGTTTTTTGAACTTCAAAGTGCGGCCGTTGACCTCAGCGAAGACGGCGAGGAAGAAAACGATGACAACGACAACGACGACGGGGTGGAAGTTTTAACAAAAATATTGAACAATTGAAGAGGATATTGGGATTTACTATGATTTAATACATGGGGATGTCTGAACATGGGGTATACATGGGTATATCTCAATATCCCCCCACTTCATAAGCTTTTGAGATCATTTTAGTCTATTTTATATATATATATATATCGAATATATTATAAGGAAAATGATGATGAATCAGTGGACGGAATGGGTACACCATTTCAGACAAATTCGAATATGTTAAATCATTGGTGATCCCGTTTTCTCCCCGGAGTTAGGAATCATCAACACGTGGGATTACAACCGGACATCAGCGAATTTAGATTTCAACGATGGTATGTTGAATGAACGAATATGTAAATGCATGTAATTGCGACGTCGCTAAACATAAGATACCTTCCAAAACATGTATAGTTGCATGTAAAAAAACACAATGCATAGCACAAAACTGGCACGTTCAACCTAAATCGTTTTTAGGCCTACCCAGCCTGGTAATGCAATGAGTATAGAAATATCCGAAATAGTCACCTACCATTCAGCAGGGTTATTTGGAGAAGAGCATGACGGTACCGTGGTGGATACCCTCCGACCAAGCTGCAACTCCAGAGCTTCGACCATCCCCCCCAGCACCTTGGGCCCACAGAGACGAAGATGTCGTGCCAAAGTTGATCTAAACTGTTTGAGTTTGGCAACCCCTAAATGTATCAAAAGGTTGGACAGCGGGAAATTGAAAACGCAAAAACAAATATTACGACATATGTATATATATTGTCTTTGAAAAATATCGTAACATCTTTGAAAAACGTTTATTTTCGCCATCTTCCATGACTAACCCAGATGTTTATCGGTTAAATATCCGTTTCAGTTGGTTAAATCCCCACCTTGCTTTTCGCAACCCGTATGCCTATCTGTCCATTCAATCTAAACAAACATCTGATTTATCTATCTATCATTATCTATCTACCTGCGTACCCCACCCTACCCTACCCTACCCTTCCCTTCCCTACCCTACCCTACCCTACCTTACCTCTCTGTCTGCTCTATCTATCGATCTATCTATCGATCTATCGATCTATCGATCGATCGATCTATCTATCTATCTATCATCTATCTATCTATCTATCTACCTATCTACCTATCTATCTATCTATGTATCTATCTATCTAACTATATCGATCGATCTATCTATCTATCTATCTATCTATATATCTTTCTATCTATCTATCTATCTAACTAACTAACTAACCAACTAACTAACCAACTAACTAACTAACTAACCTATCCATTCTATCTATTGTATCTAATCTATCCGATCTATCAATCTAACTATCTATCCGACCTATTCATAACTATCATGTCTTTCATATATATATATATATATATCCAATCTATCTGTCTGTCCTACCGGTCTTATCTGTCTATAATGTCTATCATGTCTATCATTCTCTCTATCAATCTGTCTATCTATCTATCAATCTGTCTGTCTATCTATCTATCTATCAATCTGTCTGTCTGTCTATCTATCTATCTGTCTATCTATCTATCTATCTATCATATCTATCGATCGATCTATCTATCTATCTATTTATCTATCTATCTATCTATCTCTCTCTCTTTGATCTAATTACCCTATCTATCTTTCTATCTATCTATCTTTCTTTCTTTCTATCTATTTATCTATCTATGTCCCTTTCATCTGTCTATCTGTCTAGCTGTCTACCGGTCTATCTGTCTATCTATCTATCCATCTATCTATCTATTTCTCTTTCATCTGTCTATCTGTCTATCTATCTGTCTATCTATCTATCTATCAATCAATCAAACATATCTATCATACCTATCATGTCCATCCTATCTATCTGATCTATCTAATCTATCTGATCGATCTGATCTATCATACCTATCATTTCCATCCTATCTATCTGTCCTACCTTTCCTATATAGCTATCTATCCTATATAACCTGTCTATCTATCTATCTATCTTTCTATCTATCTCCCTCTCTCTCTCTTTCTCTCTCTTTGATCTAATTACCCTATCTATCTATCTATCTAATCTTATCTATCTATCTATTCTATCTATCTATCTATCTACCTATCTATCTATCTATCTATCTTTCTATCTATCTAACTACATCGATCGATCTATCTATCTATCTATCTATCTTTTTATCTGTCTATCTATCTATCTAACTAACTAACTAACCAACTAACTAACCAACTAACTAACTAACTAACCTATCCATTCTATCTATTGTATCTAATCTATCCGATCTATCAATCTAACTATCTATCCGACCTATTCATAACTATCATGTGTTTCATATAATATATATATATAAATATATCCAATCTATCTACTGTCTGTCCTACCGGTCTTATCTGTCTATAATGTCTATCATGTCTATCATCTCTATCATCTCTATCATTCTGTCTATCAATCTGTCTATCTATCTATCATTCTGTCTGTCTATCTATATATCTATCAATCTGTCTGTCTGTCTATCTATCTATCTGTTTATCTATCTATCTATCTATCTATCATATCTATCGATCGATCTATCTATCTATCTCTCTCTCTCTCTCTTTGATCTAATTACCCTATCTATCTTTCTATCTATCTATCTGTCTTTCTTTCTATCTATCTATCTATGTCTCTTTCATCTGTATATGTCTAGCTGTCTACCGGTCTATCTGTCTATCTATCTATCCATCTATCTATCTATCTATCTATCTATTTCTCTTTCATCTGTCTATCTGTCTATCTATCTGTCTATCTATCTATCTATCTATCTATCAATCAATCATATCTATCATACCTATCATTTCCATCCTATCTATCTGATCTATCTGATCTATCTTATCTATCATACCTATCATTTCCATCCTATCTATCTGTCCTACCTTTCCTATATAGCTATCTATCCTATATAACCTGTCTATCTATCTATCTATCTATCTATCTCTCTCTCTCTCTTTGATCTAATTACCCTATCTATCTATCTATCTGTCTGTCTATCTATCTATCTATCTTTATATATATATATATATATATTTATCCCATCTACTCTAATCTGATCTAATCTATCTATCACTATCTATCTTATCTTTTACGTTCGTATCTTGTCTTTTTTCACCTATCTATCAAATCTACGTCATACCCATCAAATTTGTCATATCTTTCATACCTACTATACCTATCACATCTACCATATCTATCAGATCGATCATGTCTATCATCTCTATCCTATCTATTCTGTCTAACCTGTCTATCCTATTTATCTAATCTACCCTCTCCCATCGTATCTTATATCCTATCCCATCTATCTGCTTTCTATGCCTCTCTATCTATCTATCTATCTGTCTGTCTGTCTGTATGTCTGTCTGCCTGTCTATCTATCTATCTATCTATCTAACTATCTATCTATGTACCCATCTGTCTATGTATCTTATCTATATGTATTTCGATCAGTTTATCTACCTATTTATCTATCTATCGATCTATCTATCTATTTGCCTGAATCTGTCTGTATTAATATCTCTTTCTATTGATCTATTTACCTTTGTGTCTCCAATCCATGATCTCTATGTTGAAAGTTCCTAGGGCATACCAAACCATTGCTTTTCATATGTCTAGGGTCTCCAGCAATTAGGAAACTAGCTGAAGGGCATGCATTCCGGGAAGCAAACTGAGTGTAGTTCGAGATCCGGCAGAACAGAAAGTTCTTCCCAGTTCAAGTTCCAATCTTCAACCCAAACATCCATAAGATTGAATTGAAGCCGCCGGGGAATCATTCCATGCAAACATCCGGCTGGTCATTCATCCAAAATACATCAATATTTTCAAAACAACGTGTAAGCTGGCTGGCACTCCTTCTTTCGTTAGATCATTTTCATCACTGCAACCTCATCCACGCTCCATTGCCACCCTGACAGCGACCGGCGCCTGACTTGAAATGATAAAGTTGGTAGTCTGCCGGTATCTGAGCCATGACCCAGCCGACAAGCTGAATGTGCGGACTGGGTTTCACATCAGTGGAATGGGGCTGCAGTTGAGGTAATTGACATGTATAACCGTGGTAATTAACGCCAAAAGTTGGGATATCCCCCCCCTTTAAGGGGGTGGGGGGTGGGGAGGGGTAAAAACTGAAATATTTCACTTTAGGGGGGGGTCTCCCCCCCCCCACACACCTAGAAATATGCTAAAAAAATCTGGTCTATAATGGCTTTGGGCGTGGTTGAATTCAAGGCTGAACGTCATGTTCTGAAGGCTGTTACCATTTACCTAGTTGTCAGTGTTTGCGCATGGGCCCTACCCGCGTGACGACTAAAAAGGTCCAAAAAGGAACAGCGTCCGGAGGAGCCCCCCCCCCACGTCTTTTAGAAGCCCAAAAAAATACGTGGGGGTGGTATATTTCACGTGGTCAGGTGAAATATTTCTCAGAAATTTCTTGCCTTACCCCCCCCAAATATTCCAGGGTTAAAGGGGGGGGGATGTTGGGATATAACCCCTATAGCCCAAAAAATGTGGTTACATATCCAACTGCGCCCCCACAGTGGGAAAACGATTGACTTGAAATCTACGAAGTAGTTCAGTCACCACTCTGAAAAACATGAGCTGGTCAATGAGCATCATCATGAAACTCGCAGCGTTTCCGATGTAAAAACTCTTTCAAACCACCAACCAGAAATCAATTAGTAAATGTGTCGCATGTTTTCCGAAGCTTCCAGCTTTCCAAAACGTGCCAAAGTTTCGAAACATTGTGGAACACGAACACCGTTTGGGGCGTAAGTCCATCAAACCATATCAAACCCATTCCCAGCTTGCCACTGCGGTTTAGTTCAGTGCTCCCGCTCCAACCGTTTCCAAAACATTTGGAAAGTGATTGCTGTTTCACATATCAGCATGTTGGACATAGCACTTCGTTTCCTCTATGCAATGGGCAACCATGGGGAATTCGACCAGCCCCTCATTTCACCGACCCCCAAAATAGTAAATTGTTTAAAATTGAGGGCTCAACCTAAGGGGACGCGTTCTGGTGGGAACGTGGGATGGAGGTGTTTTTTGCTTCGCGGAAACGCTTAGAAAATGCATGGGCTTCTTAGAAGGGTGTTGCTTCTTAGAAGCAGCCACTTAGAAGTAGAGGCCTTCTTAGAAGATAAGTTGTTTGGTTTCTTAGACTCCCTCTGCTTCTAAGAGCCTCTAAGTGGCCAAATTCACCTTTTCAGGTTCGAAGAAACCCTCCCGGAATCCATCCAGACTTGCATCCCCCTAGGTCAGCACCTGAACATGTTGCGTTTATTGTTGTGGTTGCTGGTGGTTTATATGCGCTATCCATAAACCCAAACTACGCATGCATTCTCCATAAACACAAACATGCGTTTCGGGCACCACCTTTCGTGGTAAGTGGGTAACAGCCATCTTTGAAAATAAGAAAAACCTACCAGCACAACGGTAATGGAAATATATGGAGCTCCTTCAGATACCAATGACGTGTTTTTTCTAACAGTATAAAACGTGACCCCACATGGATAGATTAGATTTATTTAGATGGGTTTAGATTGGATCAAATTGGATTGGATTGGATTAAATCGTGGAATATCCCCAGTTATTCTAAGGACTTTGGTTGAATCCCCAAAAACGTCAAGTCTCCATCTCTCCGCCGTTTCCCCGCTGCCATCCCCCGCGCCCTGCCTCTTGCGCTTCCAGGTGCCATGCGGCGTTTTTGCCCCAACCGTGGCCCGTGTAGGCGTCATGGCGGCCGGCGGACTCGTACCTGGGTCCCACATGGGGTGCAGCCTGACTTGAAATGTTGTTACATGGTACAACTTGAGAAAAAATAGCCAAACAACACATACAGTGCATGTGTGTATATAAATACCTAAAACAACGAAAGCCTAACTTTTTGCAGGTTAAATATGAAAATCTCGTGCTTTCCAGGGCGCACTGCGAAAACATTGTGTTTCCAGGAAAAGCACCGTGTTTTCCCAGGATGGCTCTATAAACGTTGTTTTCACATGAAATGGCATCATTTAAGCAGGCAACGTACACAAATCAACCAATCAAATCATAGTCATACCATAGTCGCATGATATGATCATCGTTTGGCGTTTCTTTTGTGTCTAAGTCCTTAGGAAAAACTGCTTGAAGCGTGGTCATGGTTGTACGCCCCAAAATATCGATCCCATTGAAGGGTTGGTATGGGACTTGGATTGAAATTTTAAGCAACGCACTGAGAAAAGTTCGGGTTTATTTTGAACCCATGCTAAACCCACACTTTACCCGTGCTAACCCGAACTTTTGGGATAAATGCATCGTGTTTTTCCAAACACAATGTTTTTCAAACGCGTGATGAACCCGTGCCAAACCCGTACTTTACCTTTACCCGTGCAAACCCGTACTATTTGTTCGGGCTCTGAGGGGTCCCACCTTTGCCATTTTTGCTCCAATATTTAAAAATATTGATCATAATATGAAAATAAACGTCGGCATCGGAATTATTGGTGGGTGATGTTGGCTATCCATGCTATCCAGTGGTTAAGAGGAAGCTGAGGAGCCACCAAGAGTTTCCAAACCACATGTTTGTTGGGGGGTTGTGGCCAAGAATGCCGGAATATGCTGGAATAGGATGATTCTATTGATTTCTCTCTTCACCATCAAAAATGCAAATTTGAAAACATCGGGTTTTGCGGAGAAACCACGTGTTTTTTCATTCCTACGTTTTTGCAGGTTTTTGAGTTCCAAGGTATTTATATATATATATAGAAAAATACATATATACTGTGCAAAAAAAATAGTCACAGATTAATTGTTCCATGTTCCTAAAGCTAAACAAAATGGTAAATAGGTTCGATATGAATGTGGTTGAACAAGGTGCAACATGGATTTGGCCAACAAACCGGGGAGCTACAGTGGAGTATCAACCCAATCAACCCTATGGTGATTGGGAATACTGGAACAGAAAGGTCCTCGACTCCACATGAACTGATCGGAGGAATTTTGAACAACTCGCACAAGGACATCATCGAATTATGGACTCAAGCGACGCCATGTGGTTCACCCCAGTGGTTCAAAGTGAAGCCTGATAGGGCTCAACGCACCATTTCCCAAAACATGAAAATGTGCTATTGAACAGATTAACAAGGGTTTTCTTGGCCCGGGCTGATCATTACCCTTGGTCCATTATATGATGACTTTCGTTGGCCTGGTCCCACGGCAAGGGACCCCGGAGTGGGTCCCACGTGAACAGTCACTTTGTGATCTCCTTTTCCTCGGCAGTGTCCGAGGTGCAAAAAAACCATGGCCATGGGGCACATTGAACAAGTTGGCATGTTCCGTCTGTCAGTAAAAAGGAAGCTGCAACTAGAAATAAACGGCACTAAAGTGACGACATGGTCTTGACATGGCACATGGGCATGGAAACGACGTGATGACGACATAGTACTGACATGGTGACGACATGGGAATTACCCTGAGCATCGAATATTGATTCCAATCAATAGTCTTTTATCAAGATTGATTTGGGTCTGAAATCAATGTTTTGTGATTGATTTGATTGATTCAGGAATCAATCTGAAAGGCTACAAATATGAAGGCAAAAATCTGAAAACCAACCCTTTTCCAGCCCAAAATCAAAAGTTACAGACCAGCACACACCTTTTTGCTTCCTGTATCTCAGGTCAGATCAGTCTTGGTCTTTGCCAAGAAGCTTCCCTTTTTCAAGTGGTATTGCCTTTTGCAATTTCTCTCTGTACAATCCTTTGCATTAATTCCTTTTCAATGTTTTTGGAAATAGTGCATCTTTTTCACAGTGCCTTGCATTTTTTCAAGATGCCATGCCATGTCCTGTTGCAAATTCAAGGTAGCACCTTGTTCAAGGTATGCCCCTTCACCTGCCCCTGACCTTTCTCCACATGTGCGGCTGCTTCCTGCATCCCCTCTCTTGTAAGCAGGAAATGCTGTACTTGGGGGCTACCTTGGCATTGGGTCTGATGGATGAAACACAAGGACTCACGCTTGCAGTCAGAATTTGTATTTTCCCAACAAAGTCTTCACTGGCAAAGGTCCAACGTACCCTGGGGTTCAAGAATTTCGAATGTAAATGCTGCATTGTGTGATGTTTCATGACCTTATTGAACAAGGTCCTCCCTTCTTCAAGGGCCCAAGTTGATAGAAACTCATAATTGTCTGAGAACCCTTTTTCAAGGGACATTGCTGCCTTCCACTGAGCCTCAGTCAACTAGACGACGGATGGCCCGAGAGCGTAGAGGAGCAGGGTCTTCTCTTGTTAGTATGGAGACACCATATTACAAAACAATATATTAAAGATGTGTTATTATAGGCAGTCGACAAGAGGAGTATGAAGACAATATAGCATAAGTACAAGACAATAGTTTGCATCGCAAACACTTTTACCCACAAAGCTTTTACACAGAGCAAGCTTTTACACAGAGAACCATTTACACAGAGAAGCTTTTACAGACAGGCGCTTTTACACACAGACACTTTTACACACAGACGCTTTTACACACAAGGCACTTTTACACACAGACACTTTTACACACAGGCGCTTTTACATACAGACAGTTTTACACACAGACGCTTTTACACACAGTTGCTTTTTACACAGACGCTTTTACACACAAAGCTTTTACACACAGACGCTTTTACACAGACGCTTTTAGACATAGACATAGACACTTTTACACACAAACGGTTTTACACACAGACACTTTTAACACAGACCCTTTTACACACAGGAGCTTTTACACACAGAAGCGTTTACACGCAAACGCTTTTACACACAAAAGCTTTTACACACAGAAGTTTTTACACAAAGACACTTTTACACAACAGACACTTTTACACACAAACACTTTTACACACAAACACTTTTACACACAAACATTTTTACACACAAACACTTTTACACACAGACGCTTTTACACACAGAAGCTTTTACACGCAGACGCTTTTACACAGAGCAAGCTTTTACACAGAAACACTTTTACACACAGACGCTTTTACACACAGACGGTTTTACACACAAGCGCTTTTCACACAATCACTTTTACACACAGATGCTTTTACACACAGAAGCTTTTACGAAAGGGTCGCGCGGGACACTTTGAAATCGCAATTTTACTTCAGTTTTTGGCGATCGAACCTCGTTTCGTGCGAAAGGGTTGCGCCGGACAAGTTGAAATCGTAATTTTACTACAGTTTTTGACGATTGAACCTCATTTCGTGCGAAAGGGTCGCGCGGGACGACTTGGGAATCGCACTTTTACCTCAATTTTTGACGATCGAACCTCATTTCGTGCGAAAAGGTTGCGCCGGACACCTTGAAATCGCAATTTTACCTCAGTTTTTGACGATCGAACCTCGTTTCGTGCGAAAGGGTCGCGCGGGACGACTTGGGAATCGCACTTTTACCTCAATTTTTGACGATCGAACCTCATTTCGTGCGAAAAGGTTGCGCCGGACACCTTGAAATCGCAATTTTACTTCAGTTTTTGGCGATCGAACCTCGTTTCGTGCGAAAGGGTTGCGCCGGACACCTTGAAATCGCAATTTTACTACAGTTTTTGGCGATCGAACCTCGTTTCGTGCGTAAGAGTTGCGCGGGACACCTGCAAATCGCAATTTTACCTCAGTTTTTGGCGATCGAACCTCATTTCGTGTGAAAGGGTTGCGTTTCGTGCCGTCTCGTTGGCACTGCCCCTGCCCCCGCCTTCAGAAGAGAAATAGAAAAGAAGGAGAGGGCAAGAGGGGCAAGAGGGCAAGAGGAGAAGATGTGAAGATGTGAGGATGCGAAGATGTGATGAAGATGTGAAGATGTGAGGATGAGAAGATGTGAAGAAGAGGGCAAGAAGGCAAGAGGGCAAGAGGAGAAGATGTGAAGATGTGAGGATGTGAAGATGTGAAGATGTGAAGATGAGCAGATGTGAAGATGTGAAGATGTGAAGATGAGAAGATGTGAAGACGAGAAGATGCGAAGTGAGAAGATGTGAAGATGAGAAGATGTGAAGTGAGAAGATGTGAAGATGAGCAGATGTGAAGATGTGAAGATGTGAAGATGAGAAGATGTGAAGATGAGAAGATATGAAGATGAGAAGATGTGAAGATGAGAAGATGTGAGGATGAGAAGATGTGAAGATGAGAAGATGAGAGACAGACCCCCACTATTGGAAGAACCCTGCGCTCAGACGCTCTCGGGAAAAACGCTGAAGCATCATCAAAGATGGCGACAATGTCAGACATGCATTGTGTTGCCTGGAGCATGGCATTTTCATGGGGGCTGGTAAGGTCCAAGAGCTCCTTGCGAACAGAAGAAATGCATCCAAGAAATGCTTTGTTTCATAAGCCTTCAGGTCCAGATAGGCAAATGATTTGTGGGGACTCTGGGCATCACAAATCATGCTCATTCGCAGGTTAGTGACCCTGGTTGTGCCTTGCCTCTGATACTCCTGTGTCAAGGCTTGGAACGGTGCACCCAACCTTTTGTCAGGGGCCACTGATTGGACCACACCAACACCATCATGCCAGCAGAGATAATGCATGATACCACCCAGAAGGCGCCCCAGCACCCCTTTGCAGAACAATATGTGAAGACAATCTCCCCTGACCATCTTTGGGCCAAACCAGGGATCATGCCACTGAAGAGGCTGTGGCCACTTCCGGGGTTCTTCATGGCCTCCTCATTGGAAAGCTTTTTGAAGCCCCGCTTCCCTTTTTCAAGGGTTTTGTACCACAGGTTGGCTGGGGCTGCATCTTTTGAAGCATCGCATTCCCAGCATGGTTTTTTGCATTTGAGAAAACTCCTGAACCCCTTGGATGCTCCACAAGACACCCCTGTAACCTTTTGCTGAGGGTTCCCCTTATTCAAGGAAGAATGGGGAATCCTTTTTCAAGGCCTTCCCTTTGGGGTCATGGGTGGGGTGGTATCCATTTTGCAAGGCTGCAAAGCTCCATGATATCCACTCCCACATAGTGACCCAGGGATCATCCAAGGCGCAGCTCTTGGGGAAGCCAGCAATGCACATGTGACTGCACGATGAATTCTTCTGGCTCAGGGGTGGCCCCCAGCTGTAAACCATGATTGTGTCTCTGGATTGAAACTCTACACAACCCACATGGACAAAGAGTGGTAGACAGCACTTCTTCCAAGACTTTCCCTTTTTCGGGGTGGTTGATGAGCCTGTCATCATCAGTCTTTTCAGCTTGGGCCCAAAAGCTCTCCCAGCAGTCCAAAGGGAAGAGTTTATCAAAGCTGCTGTTAGTAGCTAGCCTTGAAAACATGATATGGGGGAAGAGAACTTGGGCAGTTTCCACATCCTTTTTCAAGGTTTTGGGATGCTTGCATGGCACTGCAATTGGGAAGCCAGTAGGCAAGCCAATGCCTTTGCAAAAGTTTGCCACCAAGTCCCTGTGGACATTGCCTGGGTGAACCCCATGGGAGCCACACTAGGCAATTGCAACCAGCCCATGGTGCTCTGCCCCATCCAAGGTAACACATTCTGCCAGCCACCTGATGGTGGTTCCTGGCAGCTTGCCATGGCACCAAAGGGTCAGCAATGCTGTTGCCAAGGCAGTGCTGTCACATTTTTTGAAGGGTTCATCCAGAATTCCCAGCTCTTGTTCAAGCTGCCAACCCCTGAGCCTTTTAGGAATTGCTTTTTCAAGCCCTACCTGGCCCTACCTTGGAATGCTACCCTTTTAGAAGGGGTCCTTTTTCAAGAAAGACAATTCTTCAAGGACATACCTTTTTCGAGGGAATCCTTTCTGCGATGGCAAGGAAATCCTTTTTCAAGGCTGGTCACAAGGAAAGCCTCTGTATCTGTATACCTAGTTAGTTATGGTCCCTAAAAACACTTTCAAGCCACAAGCTGTAGAATGCCAATGCATACACTGCTCCAAATTGTGGTGCAACATGCTGTTAAGCAGCAACACTGGTAGCAGCACTAGCAGCAGCAGCAAACCTTTTTTCTTGCATGTTTCTGTGCTTTGTCCTGGCAGGCTGTTGCTGCCAACTGTACACACAAGAGCTGATGTCAACCTTGTTCAAGGAGCACAGCTATATATGTATTTTCCAAAACCACAAGGCCTTCCATGAAGGATGCCCGGCCAAGCCATGCTCCAACCTTTTTCAGGGTTGTTTACTTTTTGCTGGGCTTGCTTTGCTGTTGGCCTTGTGGCTAAACTGGACCAGCTCTTTGGCCTCATCCTTTGCATCTTTGATGCAAGCCACAACTACCAGCGAGTGCTTTT